GCGAGAATTTCGGCCTCGTCAAACTTAAAAATATGGCTGGGGTTCGACTCTTGTTCCTGTGATTGCATCCTCTTCTTCTGAGCTGCTTGCTGGAACTTGCATATTCTCTTCTACAGTTAGTAAATATATACGTAACCTCTATCAAAGACAACGTCCGAAAGTAAAGGAAAAAGAATTTGGATAAGAAGAGGACGACCTGATCGCTGGGACAATACTTTTATTCGCCTGACGTTTCGAGATCTGTCGCGGATTCGTAACCAGAGACATAGTCAAAGAGCAGTAGCAGATACCACTGGATGGTAGTTTATACTCTATTTTCAGCCATTAATCATTAAAAAGTAACCACCGGCTAAATGCTCCCCTACCGGGTTAAGTGAAGCATATTTGTTTATTCCGTGGTTGAATTTGGAAAAAAACTTGTTATCTTTACAGTAGATCATCGGAAATTGTTCACGCAAGCAGATGAACATTACAAGATGGTTCATTCAACAAAATAAATGCGTCTGTTTCGAGATGCAATTTAAGTAAACAAAATTACGACAGTGTAAATGATTTTGTATTTTCTTATCTGAGGTAAACAGGTGACTCAGCGAAAATAATGAAAAGAAATGTACTCGTAATTTAATGGCAAACTGGAATTCTGTAAATCGGGTCACCAGTAGAACAAATGGATGAAGGCTTCATGAATTCAAAATTACCAGCACATTTATCGCCTATGAAACAGCTGCTGATATCTTGCGTTCTATAGTAGGTCAGTTATTGCACGCAGAAAAGTAAGAAAATCCTCAGGGAAGTGTTTTCACACATTCACAAGCACCGGCTAGAAGTGGTATTTCTTGAGATTCTAGAAGTGGGAGTATGCAGATTGCTGCTCCCTCGATTTTAACAATGTACTTGGTTATAACTCTAAAGTCTTTTCCCTTCTTATTTGTAAAGTTTCCGCTGAACTACCTGTCAACGCTGGACAAAGGTTTCCCAATCAGGAGAACGCTACTGCATCAGCAAGACCAGATACAGGTCCAGTTTCTGTGTCCGGGGTCCCTACAGAAAATCAGGAAGCCACATTCAGTCCCTCTTCCTCTTTCACGCAGGCTCGGCGAACTGATACAACTGCAAATATAATTGCCAGTCAGTTTAATCTCCTCTCTAGCGAGCCGTATCCCCTATCCTCAGAGCACCCACTGTCGCCCCAGTCCCCAAGACCCGGTGTAAGTCAGGACTCGCCAGATCAGGCACGTTTTCGTCAATCGGGCAGCCTAGAAAAGCGAATCCACCCCGCAGAGGAGACTGCGGGTCTCCTGGTAGTGAATGTGATTGCCGGAAGCGGTCTCAAAACCTCACAGATGCTGCTACGGGATCTCTACTGTGTTCTGGAGACAGACTCTGTACGCAAGGCACGCTCTATGATCCGCACTAATACGGACTTCTTTGAGTGGGATGAAGTTTTCGAGATTGAAATTGAGGAAAGCCGCTTCCTGTCACTCCTTGTCTACCAGTGGGACCCACGAACTCGTCATCGGCTGTGCTTCTACGGTGGTATTGACTTGCGCTCCTTTATCCAACAGCGACGACAGCTGCTGGCAATGAATTCGGAGTCCGACTTCAATCAACAGCAACAACAGCAGCAGCAGGCGGGAGAGCCCGAGAACAAACCCCTGACAAGTCCAATTGTTGCCAGTTCGGCTATTCGATTTGAAAAAATTGCCCTCCAATTGGAACCCAAGGGGATTATGTATCTTCAGTTGGGTATCCTTCCACTGAAAAGCCTCTATATAAGGCGTAATTTCACCAATTCCTATGAGGCAGGCCTCTTTGGTGTATCGCTTGATGAGCTCATGTACAGAAACCGACTCCTCACAGACTTGCTCCCACCCCCACCTAATGATCCCGTGAGTCATGCTGTGCCGCTCTTAATAAGAAAGTGTGTGGAAGAGGTGGATCGCAGGGGTACCGATGTGGTCGGCATATATCGTCTTTCGGGCTCGGTATGGATGAAACTACAGGTTCGAGAACTGCTCACAAGGACTGCAGACAAGATTATCCAGGGCATATCCAAGCAAAATGAGAAGGCCGTCAAGGTCGCTCTGGCTACCCTCGATCTCTCCGCCGATTCTGTTCCGGATATACATGCAATTACAGGTAGAACTATTTTTGCATTTTTAAATAGGCTATGAACCGTATAAAAAAGTGTTGTGGACGCAGATAATACGTTTTTTTGTTCTATTGTGTACTGCTCATAAATGTTGAATGCATACTGGAACTAGATTTCTAAGTAACTCCAGGAAGCCAATCATCTTCAGTTGCTATTTTTCTTACTTGCTAATTAGAATAATTGGCTAAGGCCACCTGGTCTGTGCCTGGGTTGCCGTGAGAAATGCACCGGACTGGAGTATTGCTCGTTCATCTGTTGGTTGTTTATTGGTAATGACTTTGTGTTTTCGCGTAAACAGCTGCTCTTCAAATTAACATAGGACCTTAAAAAGATTAAATCTCAATCGGTTGTCCGAAGCAGGAAAAAAGCAAAGCAAATCGGCTATAAATACCTAAAATCGTAGAAATTATTAAAAAAATCGTTTGCACATACCTTTACCAAAGGCTCTAAATAAATGCACAGACCCCGAGAGATTTCATGCAACTTAGACACTCGTTTTCCAAAAATCACCTTGTGATCCACCGTCACTTTTAGCTTTTGATTTAAATCAAGTTTCTGGAAAAGCCTGCATGTCATTTAAGTCAGGTCTTCGAAGCGTATGACATCTGGCTACAGGCCACCAAGGAGACACTCGAGAAATCCTGAAAAATACATTGAAACAAATGTACGGCCAGTCATCCAAGGCAAGTATTACGTGTCACGGGATTGGCCACAACTGGAGCTACAAACCGAGATGAAAACCGCAAGTGTTTCCTTCGCTGACACGACTTGATGCGACGAGAGTTCGACCGCCGATTCGGACGATGTTAATTGTTGCTAGGAGGTTTGGCAGATTTGCTTAATTTGAGTTGACCCAATTGTGAAAAAACCGGTTGGGATTTCGAATCCGCGCATCAGAGAAGGCCTTTGCCGGAGGCCAATGCTCTAACCGCTAAGCTTAAAACGCCCCGCCGCACGCCATGATTTTAATCCCCTTTGGGTCGATATTACCCGCCCAACTTTACCGGTCTCCGGCAAAGGCCTTCTCTGATAAGTGGGTTCGAAATCCGCCAAACGCCTCGAGTTTTTTTCACAATTGGGTCAACTCAAAAGATGTTAATTGTGTGCTCTACACCACGGTGGTACAGGGACGGCGACTTCGGCGCGAATTTAGTTTTAAGTGCGAGTAGATTTGCATTGTATCTTTCGCACTCGCTCTTCCGTCAACCATCTGTTTAGGCTACACGTCATGAATTGATAAGAATGGGGAACTATACACCCCATATGACACTGTTGACACTAATGTAGCGTGAACTCAGAATGGGGAATAGTAAAGTCTGGTGGACAATTGTGCAGTCAGGAACATACTTTTGCCATACTTATACCAGATTTATCTTTCACCTCTCTTCTATTATTCTACAACACTTGGCATTGGTTCGGCTTTCGAGTACCTCCTCTGCTTTCATCCTATTAGATGTGGCATAACAGTACGTCAACACTGTCAATCTTCATCAACGCTGTGTTGCTCCTAGTTAGAAAGAATGGGAGACAGTGGGACTGAGGATTAACAACGTTGTCGACATCTACCGATCTTGAATTTCGTTCACAGCCGCTGTGACGTCAAGTCACCCAAAGATACAACCTGCACGTTTTCACTTAAGGTGGTCCTGTCGTTTTCCTTAACCAAAATGGTTTCGGTAATTGGAATAGTGCGTGAAGACGTAATAATATTGTAGTTTCGGAACTGGAGCCTTTAGTTCCAGAAAAGGCTGATTGAATCGGACTTCGCACCAAGAAGTAAGCACCACCAGCCCACTTGACTATGAGGAATAATTACAGCTGTTCTGGAAAATCCATCGTGAATAGTCATCCCGCAAAGGAGCATGAGGAAGGTGTGCATAAATTGCAGGACCTATTGATTTACTGCTATCTACAGCAAAGCGAAAAAATTTCTGGACCAAATGCCCGAGTCTGCTTAAATATTCTGTATCTAAGTAAACCTATTTGTATTCGCTGGGTCCCGCAACACACCTGTAAATTGATGGGATATAGAGACTAAAATTCTACAAAATTTCATTTCTTGTCCACATCCCGATTTTTAAAAAGTCTCGAAACCACAACCATGATCCCTTTAACTTAAACTGCCTCCTTTTGCTGATGCGGAATCGCTTGGCAGATGCGTGGTATCTGAGAGGCCCACGATGGTCCTAGTGCTGGATATTCAACTTTTTTCTACAGAGAGGACCGGGTACCAAACAGTCCATGACACGTAATTGTTTTTAGAATATCAATTACTGCGGCCAAATTCATCTCTATTTCACTTTAATCAGTCTTGTCCCTGGTGCATAACAGAATAAATAAAATGGGTCATACTCGGATCTACAGTAGAGCTCGGAATTCGTGCAGCAAGCCCACATTTGCGAAAGATTGATGCTCACTCGCTAATCGACATTTTTAAGGTTTTAATACTTATTACTATGAAGCCTATTCTCAACTCCTTTCAGTCGCGAAAGGACGCCGGTTTTTTAATGAGCTTCCTTCTGACCTCTAACAAAAAGTATTTACTGTAAAAATGGCTGCTCAAATATTATGCATTTTTATCGTTTATTTTGACTGCCTTTAGAGATACAAATATATTTTCTGTAAAAAATACGAACCTATACTTCCTTGTTCTCGTTTTGTAGAAAAGTACGCCCACTTTAAATTGTATCGTTAAAGAATGGGTATACTTCGGTTTTAAAAAAAGTTTCTAAATTGCCAAATATTATTTAAACGCACCAACTGCTCCCTTCGAATTAAGGTTTTAAAACTGCCCGCCCTGTACATCTTGTTTAAAAAAAAGTACGTGTCTGCCTACGATTTGAGGAACAAGTTACATAGTCCTCGTAAAGTGTTGTGGGTCATGCTGTATACCTTATAGGCAGCATTAATAGATTGCCGTATATGATGTATTATGAATGAACACCTCACAATCATAAAAGTCACATAATGAGAAACTTTTAAAACCGTAAGATACCCTTTCTTGAATTTTACACTTGAAAGAAAGCATAATTTTCTACCAAACAAGTACAAGACAGAATAGTTTCGTGCACGTTTTCCATAAAATATGTTTGCATTTATAAAGGCAGTCAAAGTCAATGACATTTAGCCACTTTTTACAGTACATCCTTTTTTTAGCGGTCAGAAAGAAGTTCCGATGGTTAGTATTACAACATTACTCAATGCCGATTAGCGAGTGAGTATCAATCTTTCGTAAATGTTGGCACGTCTCGGAATAATACATCGCGTGTGTATTTTACACAGCGCGCTGTAAGGTACGGCATAGAGGACTGTTACCTGACGGAAGAAATTGCCCTCTAGACTGAGGATTCGGCTGCGATAGTTCCTTCCTCTAATGTGAAATTTACAGCACCATTTCGTTATGCAGGATCATAGTTAATAAATTATGCTCCCTATATAAAAACGTGGCAGTAGGTGTGTCTCTACAACGTGCTTCAGGGGCACTGGACTGAAACGGCATTCCAAATAACTCATGGTGCGTGTTAATCTGGTTACACAATGAATGCATAAGCCACTAATTACCGTTACATATGAGTTCATACGTCCAGAAAGTCTAATGATGCATGAGAGAGAGGAGAGGAAGAGAGTGTGACACCGGGAATTCTATCCTTATGGAATTCTATCCTTATTCAAAAGAAGACTGAAACACAATATGTGCACGACTGAGGGAGCTGAGAGTGGGTCGATGTGTAATTTGCGATCATATTATACGCCAACCCAACTCCAATTCTATCCGTTGCCTTTGTTAGGATTAGCATTCTCTGCCGGGTAAGTAGGGTCGCAAAACGGCTTGTTCGCCTTAAGAGGACCGACTTATCGTGTCAACTGGCAACTTTCCAAGCGCAGTAGTTCAAAACGCATAGCCTTTTCTGTCAGAAGGAAAAGCATCAAAGAACCGATCTCATTCTTTCTCGCAGCGAGAGTAGCAAAAATTGAATCAGGTCAGCTAGGAGTGACATCGCGCCTAGTAGTCATTGTTCCCTAAAGCCATCGGCTATCGTAAGCTGCACACTTACCAGACAACAAACTCTTGTGTGACCCCACTAACCCAGCAAGAAAAGCTAACTCTAACAAACACAATGGCTAGGAAGTCAGCTTAAGCGATCGAACGTTCCTTCAATAATATAGGGGAGGGTAGAGTAAACAAGGGATTAAAGCAACCAATCAGTAGTAATTTGAGGAGGATAGAGCTGTTAAGGGATCAAAGGGGTCAGCTTCGAGTCATGAAAATGAACCAGAGAGGGGGAGGGGGAGAGGAAGGGGGTCCGACATTTAGTTCATCTCATTCCGTCTCGTGTCGTGGCTTCAGGACGCAAGGTGTCATGGTCTTGCGATGGCGTGGGGATGTTTGTTGTCGCTGTCTCGCGGTGGGGTAGAAACCATGTGGACGGAAGGTGAGTTGGTTTTTGACCACAAGAGCCTTAGTGTCTGCACAAATGCCTTCTGCGCGCATAAACTCGAGTAAGTTAGCCGTATGGCAAATGCCTCTGCAATCGCAAGCATCAGATGATGCAGAAACTTGGAATGTTTCGCCGGAACATCATAACACACTCAGAACGCGCTTGTTTGACGTCTACCCAATGACCGCTGTCAACCAACTGAGCCAAAATGGCGCTAGATATTGACTTTCCCACGCTCAATTTAGTGAAGCTGGCTGGTGTTTTCGCATGCGCTTGGATAGCCGCCTGGTTGTTATAACTTGACCCACGGGCGCAAGTAAAGGCGTAGGTGCACACTGAAGACGTCTGGAATGTCAGTATATCTTTGCCTTGAAGGCAAAGGAGTGGATTGCTTCAAAATATTAATATAATCTTGGGTGCTGGATACGTCCGCGCAGCGTTCAAGCGAAACTGCAAAAGTCCGCTTGCTGGATCACCTCTAAAAGGCGATGTAAGACATAAAGCTTCCTTCCTAGCAGTTGGCACTTCTGAGTTCAGTGGACGTTCCTCCATAAATTTATGGATAAACTTCTCGGAAAAGCAATTTTCTTACGGAGTCTTTTTAATAAGGGTGATTTTGTTCTGCAGTGTCTCTGAAGGGCATGTTCTCCTAGCTCGCTTAATGAGGCAGAGGACTAGAATTCGTTTCTAACTTAGTGGGAAAAAACTTCCCCCCCTTAATTACTACTGATTGGTTGCTTTACATTTTTGTTTACTCTATCCGCCCTTAAATTATTGTACTTCCCTGATGATTATGAATAATCGAAAACGTTCAGTCGGCCAACTTGACGTCCTCACTGCTTACATGGGTATCATCGCTGGACTAAAACAATGAGTAGAGTTAGATTAGCGTGTTGATTTTCTACGTTTGGCCCCACCCATAAAACCCTGATTACCATCAGTCGCTTATTACACGCTAAAATATCCCTTTTGCCTTCTCAATGCGGTCGCATTTTACGTTCGTGCCACACCCTTACCGTGGCCTGGCACATCTGCCGTTAGGCAGGGTGATTTGCGGCACGCGCAAATGGACCGTTTCGCCTTACAAACCACTGCTGCCAAGACCGCGGTCTCCGGTCTTAGTGGCATTATTTGGCTATTAGAGCTAAATTGGCGAAGGCGGAGGAGAAAGTGCGGGCTAGATGCCTTAGTCTGTCTCACTGCAAACTAATTTGCGCACAACTTATTCCTGGTTGCGTTCGATCCATGGGAGGGAGACGTTGGACATCAGCGTTCGCGACTATCAAACTGTCGTTAAGTGACCGCTTCTCAGGGATAGTGGGGACCTGGAGATTGAAAGCCGAGCTCCTGAAAGCAAAAGTGGTTGAATGATGGCATTCCAGACAGGATATGCAAATGGAATGGAGCGTGGACATATGCAGTTTGGGAGTTCTTTTTGCCCCAATCACTGGACAAATAAGAGCTTTTGCTTAACATCCCTTGGAAATTTCGTCTGAAAATCGGCTTAATGACCTGCAGCCGCTGCAAACGCGAGAATTGGTAGGCGCTTTTGCGTAAATAACCGTCCACTCCCTATGATTAAAAAGATTAAAGCGTAAAATAATCAATAAACAACGTCCAGAGTTATAATCTGGCATGCAGCACACAATACCTGCCCTAACTAACGAAACCTGACGCTTTTTACAAAGTAATCACCGTAAAAAAGCAAGCAGCTCATACTGCTTGTTTGACTGCAGTAAAACAAAGACAGTTCCAAAAAAGAAATCATCTTGCGGCCTATCAAGTAATATCATGTTTCTAGAAGTAGCAGCCTTTTTAGGGACCGAACAGTCAGAAAAAAGATTAAATATTATGCTTAGTATTAAAATTAATTTTAAAACGCAGGGGAAGCCCGTGCTTGCACATAACTGAGTAAATAGGACAGCGCAAGGAGAATCACATCTTTAAAGCATCCATTTGAGAAATTTTTAGATATCTATGCCTCCACATTGCGCGCAGTGTAAAGTATATTTGTTGCCAAACAGTCCGGAGATTGAGTATATATTCCAACATAGTTTCCCGAGAAGTGCAAGTTTTTTTCTTCCGTTTACACATTATTTGAGATATGTCGACCTAAGAAAACCAGATTTTCCTTGGATTGCGCGAGATGGGACGCTACAAAATGAACGCACACAAAGAGTCACAAAAATTAATATGCCAAGGACCAATTCAAACAACTTTATATAACAAGCTAGCTATTCAAATAGCGCTCAAAATATATATTGCTACGTCCAACTGATCATCTTTTGTACGTTCCATTTAATGTTTCCGTATTCGTTCATAGTCATCTGTAGATGGAACTTTTTAAACATCTTTTGCGCACGGCGTGAGGAATAAACATGATGGCAGGTCGCGGGCGTTCATATCTATATGCCTGTTTGCGGTCTTTACTTTCGGTGCGGTATTACATACTACAGTTGTGCAAGTGTATTACTAAATGTTATGCCACAAAACCTATAAGAATTTCAAAAGAGGGTTTTCTGAAAACTTAATCTGCCCTTCTTTTCTCGGAAACAGTGCGATTTTTAATAATCGCATTTACCTGATTTTTAGAAAGTCAAATCGAAATTTTTCCTTGCCTGAAAAGATATAGTTAAAGCTTTTGGGCTCGTCTTAATGTTCTTTTCCAGTGCAGCACGCCTTAACAAGAGGTGTCCATCCGCAGCATTAAATAGCATGGGATATTCCTTGCATCTCAAGAAACATTGGATTTGGCCAAATTTGACCCATCTTTTCTTTCAAAACTTTGATTTAAACTGAAATATGTTATAGTAAGCAAAGTTTTTACCCTCAGTTTAATTAAATAAACAAAATAAAGTGAGTGTTAAACCACTCCCATCTTGACATTTCATGGGGTATGTGGTCTTCTGTATATTGACGCCAATAGGCATTGACTCAAGTGCTTAACAAGTAAATACTATGGTCTCAAAACGCGCTTCTTCTAGACTCTTACATTTTCTCTCGGCTCATCGCTTTGTGTTTCGTCCTGTGTTTGTTGCTCATGGTAGGTTCACCCATCAGCACAGTAGTACAATAGCAAGTGTCTCCAACTTCATCAATTTATTAACGAACTTGTAGTCGTTGTCTGCAAAAATTTCTTAGAACTCTTACCCTTCATTATCTGATCATCGTCGTCAGCAGAGTCGCGGCTATGGTTGTGGGCAGGACCATTTACAGCGACATCAACACGGCCATCATCACGAGGATCAAAACCACCATCATCCTCATCATAGTCATTAGCATAATAACTGTCAGCAACGACAATAAAACCAGTAACATTGTTCCCATCGTCATCATAATGGCCGACGCTAACACCCTCTTCATTCTTTTCATGCCTTTCGCTCATTCTCCCCTCAATTGTGCCTTTAGTTCTTGTTGTTTTTCTCATCTTTTACATCAAAGACACATTTTGGTCGCTCTCCTGCTTCTTATCACTCGGATCTTTCTCTATATTGACTACTTATTTCCAGCTCTTGTGATCTACGCCAGAGATAAATTCAAAATTATTAATACTACTGTCAACATTATTGTCGACTAACCATTATTTCCTCTCTCCTTTGCCTTCTGGGGATTTCGTGAGAATAAGGAGTTTCGTGTATTGATATGGATACAAACTACAAAGCAGTCGATACCGTTGTAACCCGAAAAGCGTCTCTTAGAGAGATAGCCCTCGCTAATGTCTTAAAGATATAGATGATCAGGCAAATTATTCGACCAGTTTGCACTGAACTACAACCAAATAACTGACCAATACTTTGTAGTTGAAAATTTAACCAGGAAAAAGGTATGTCGTGGTTTTTGTTGAATTATAGTGTTCCGATTCCGAAGAAGAAGATGCGATCACTGGAACAAGGATTTTATTTTCCTGACGTTTCGGATTCCCGAGGGAATCCGAAACGTCAGGAAAATAAAATCCTTGTTCCAGTGATCGCATCTTCTTCTTCGTAACTGCTGCCTGGAACTCGTATATTCTCCTCTATTGGCAGTGTTCCGATTGTTTACTAACTATACGGCTCTGTAGAAGATCAGAATTGATACAAGATGTTGATGGTTTCAATGTAATTATCTTCACCAGCATGCCATTCTCTCTTACAGTAAATCAAGGTTGTTTCTGAATGTCGCTGTCATATTCCCGAATACTAGCTGTTTGCGGAATGTTGTACCAGAATAATCGATATAAATTCACTTGGCGTGGTAATCAAACAGTTTGCCGAGTACGCGATTTTCCAACCGAACTTGGTAAGCCCTCTTTTTCCCCAGATGTCTGTTAGATAGCACAGAACAATCAATTCTGTAGCCTCTTCCAATTCCGATAGCACTTGCTAAATGTACCAACACACAGACTGTACAATCTTTCAACTGATAGATTACAGAGGTCCTTAGAGTCTAATATGTGATGGAATCTATGTGCTTTGTAAGCAAGTTTGGTTGAATATTCGTTTCCTTGGGGGTCAAAGCGACGCAGCCTGCTCGTACAAGCCCGACAAGCAATTTCTATCTAAATTGTAGATGTGTCTCTTCTTCCTCTCCCTATTCCTCTTTTTCCTCCTCCTCTTCTGGGTTTTGGACTGTAGCGACACATTTACTCGGACGATGGAGCCGCGTCATTCGTAAGTAAGCTGGGTTTCTCTGCATTCAGACATATATTTAAATGCCGAAAGATTCGGGGTCCAGATATGTTATCGCGTTCATCATCTCCCAAAGGTAGGGAAGAAGAAGAGGGGCGGATTCATGGACCAAAATATATTTGAACTGACGTTTCGAAAACCTTCTCGCTTCCATCGTTAGAGTTTAGTGGTAGTTGAGCCTGGTGGTCTTGAGTTAGTCCGCCTTGCCGTTTTCCTCAAATTATATCGGTGTTGGACGTGTGAACTTTGACCTGCCCGTCCGTTGTCGACCCCATTTGCTCTCCCGGAGGTCAGCTGCTAATGGGCTGGCGTGACCTTCGTCCCCTCTGCGGTCAGCGTAGTTTTAGGCGAGTCAGTATGCTTGCTGGCCTCCCCCACGTCACCCGGCGGACTTTTCACTCGTTGCAGTTCGCTTGGGTTTTTCTTACTCTGGCCGCATAAAATTAACAGTCTGCCTCTTTTACTAAATTTGACAACATTATCCATAAATTGAATTCAAACTACGAGGAGACGTGTTGAGCGCTCAATGTACGGTGCGTGCTCGTCATATTGATCCTCTAACCCACATTTTGGCCTCCACAGAGGCAATCGTATAGAGAAAATGAGAATTTAGCAGGAGGACTGATAAAGACATGCATGCCTCGTAACCTGATTGGTGAATTCTCTTCCGTGATAATTAACATTCCCGATTGTAAGCAAGGGCACAAGAGGCTCGCTACGTTGACACATCTAACGCTGAAAGACAGATGAATGCGGAATCGAAAATTGGAACCAGAAATAACAATCACAGACCCTGTTGTTGTTGATGTCGGTATTCCATCTATTATTGCACGATTTAATTTCCATCTAATTTATGCTTAAAGAAAGTTTAAAATTGCATTTTTGTTGCGGTCAACTTAAAATTCACCTAGGCTTGCAGGCACCTACTTGAAAAATAGGAATTGTCATGAATAACACTTGAATAAGTAGGTGCGTCTAAAGTAGAACAGAACTTTTGTATCTAATAATTAGTTTTGGCCTGTGCTTCCCTCTGTAGGAGTAGGAAAAATAACTTCCTTATCTTTCCTGTAAGCCGTGCAAGTTATTTTCCATTTATTTACGTTCACTCTTTATGGACATGAAAATATTTACAATTTCCATGGTTTTTCGAAGTACCGCGTTTCGTTTTTTAGCAACTCTCAAGGATTTCTTCCGGGAGCTGCCCGAGCCTCTCTTTACCAATACCCTCTATCCGATGGTCTACGAAGCTACGCAAGTAGCAGGGCCGGGTGACTCCCACATGGGAACAAAGCTCATTCTTAATATTTTGGACTGTCTTCCAACCTCAAATCAAGTGAGTTCACACTTCTTAATGTCAAGTTCATGCGAAATGTAGAGCATTCAAAAGTAAACTTCCGTGCACATTTTAAGAAGACCACATTTAATGAAATTAAGGCGACACGTTTGCAACTACAAGCAAATTATATGTTGGGATTCAGTTGAAAACTTCTAAAGAAACGGAGTCTTATCGTGTGTTTTGATTACATCTTCCTCTTCCCCAAATAAGGCTGAAATGTCAACTGTTTGTTAAACATTCCATGTTTCCACACGTTTTGAATAGAGGAAATTTAACAAAAGGCACTTTAACCAGTCCCTGCGCAAACACAAAAATTGCTGTATTGATAAAAAAAATCACGTAAATTACAACCTATTTCCGTTTGTCAAATGCCGGCCATCGCATTTTAACAACATCCGACTTCTCAAGCCGAAATAGTCAGTTTTATGAAGACGCATTCATGATTAGGAGATGCTGATTTAAAATTTACATAAACCACCCACAGTTCCATAAACTGGTAATTTTAAATCAGTATATATAGGCAGATACAAGGAAACTATATACAGTTAGCGTGAGTTAAAACGATTAATGAAACATTTGGTAAGAGTTGTTTAAGTATTGCGCCTCAAAGACCCTTAGTCTCAGAATTTTGCCTACTGAAACGTTGGTTATAGGGGTCTTAGGGGTTGGGAAATAGGATAGGCAGTAAAATAAATTGCTAGAAGTAAGTTTAAACTGGCAAAGAATGTAGTTAACTTTGTTTCCCACGGCCACTGGAAGTAAGTTGTTCCGCAAGTAAATTGAAGATGTGCGCGGCTCTTCCCGCCGTGGACTAACTAATCTAACTCTAGAATTAACCCCAGGTTAGAAGAGGTAGACGACCTCCTAATCACCATTTCTATTTTTTCAGGAATTTCAGGAAGCTTACATTTTGATAATTGGGTTACTCCGAAATACGTTAAACGATAATACAGATTAGGAAAGCCAACAGATATAAATCAACAACTTTTCAAAATACAATAAAAATGCATATAGCAATTATTAAAGTATATTACACTGCCTATCCTAATTTTCCACGCATAACACCTCTGTAGCCACCGTTTGCGCACGACAAAATGCTGGGACTAGGTGTATATGAAGTGGACAACTTAAACTGCTGTTGCCAAATATTGATACCAATTCGATGCCTTAAAACTACAAGCCTGATATTCCTCCTTTGAACCAATCGCCTTTGCACTAAACCCTGTCAAACGTCTAGCACTTCAGTCAGCTTTCATGCCAGAGTGCACATCCCCATGTAAATGTGCAAACGGATAATAATGTATTTTGCCAGATATAGTTACGAAAAGGGTGTGAAATAAAAACATGACTTTCACCAATGGCAACATCCCCAAAAGCATCCCAGAAAGGTATGCCACTGCACTTGGCAATACAGGCAGAAATGCAAGTCCCAGGCAGTAATCGAGAATAAGTAGAAGATGCAATCGCGGGGACAACCTGCGACGGACTTCGAAAAGTCAGGCGAATAAAAGTCTTGTCCCAGCGTTCGCATCATCTTATCAGCAGGTGACAACCTGCACGCGGGTCATCGAGTAATCAACGCACAAGCGGGCAATTATCCTCGATATGGGAGTCGTTACTTTCTCATAGGTGTACATTATCCTAGTGACTGTATCCTATAAATACTGCAACGACCTGTGCAAGAATTACCACTTTCTGCTACTGTTTATGTTTATATCTCTGAGGAAGAATCCATGAAGGACTTCTAAACGTCAGGCGAATAAAAGTCTTTTCAATTGCACTTAGCTCTAATCAGTGATCATATGCCCATATTATTTTCGTACATCCAGGACTCCGTTTCTACTGGATGCGCTCGTAAGTACACAACCTCAAGTCCTCTGTATCACTTTTGCATTATTTATCATTCATTAATAAATGCAGCGACAGAGGACTAAATTCCGAGCGTTTCGGCAATGAGGGGCTGTAGATAGCTAAAAAGGTGCCAACGCTCCTTTCGTGTGCTTCTTGTCTGGCGATAATAATACTTGCCTACAGCTCAATCCTCATGCTGTTGTAGTCTCTGTAAGCTGTAAGCTAGATCTCCAAGGATGTCATTATGCATTTCTGCAGGTGGGATTGATTCTTACATAAAACGCATGCATGAAACCGTATCCCCTACCTGACAGACGTTGACCATTCGTGAGAGGAAAGTAAATTGGACGTTTATGTCGAATTTCATGGCTTCTGGGTTAATCTTCCGATTTCGTAACGTGACTGCTGTGCATCGCATATTTCGAAGCGGTCTATGTACCTAGACTAAGATGTAGACGGAGATTAAGATAAATGACTGGCACAACGTCCGCCCGTGCTACTTTCAGGAAGCTGTCGAGTTTGTCCGATAATTATCTGTGAGAGTACCGCGGCTGTTAAAAGTACACTAGACAGGCTAAGCTCGTACATGACGCAAGACGTTTATACTGGATAACTAGTTTGCAATGTTATGGACCTGAAGATGATTTGCCGAAAAGTATTCTTTGCCTAACAAATTAACTTTTCAAGTTAAAAAATGGGAATATTTAACGAACTTAGAATAATAATGATAAACGCGCTCAAAAAGTAATGGTTTTACACTATAGTATTTAATGGAATGCAAAGGTCTATGATATTTTCTTAAGAGTATGCAAATTTCTAGAGGATGTGCTTGTAATTCTTTTAGTTAATTTTATTTCGGTCAAGAGTGGCAAAAGTTAATGCTGACCTTGATTACATATATTATTAAAATTCATTACAGTATCAGCTACTGTAGTTTGGATCTATTAACCGAAAAAGAAGAAAGCATACCAGGGCCGGTAAACACTAATTTGTAACAGAAAGAGTTAAATAAGCAAAGTTTCGAAAGATTCATTTAATTTACTAACAAATATAATTATGAGTTTACTTTTGCCGATAACTATTTCCAGTATCATTTAAATTTTAATTATCAAAACCATTATTTGGTCTTAATGTCTTAAACCAAGAAGTTGCCTTAGAAGAAATTTGAGAACACTTTCACCCGAGGCGCCTATAGGAAACATGACGAAGCATTAGATATTGTCACAAATTGAATTTTACGTTTACGCTACTCCTGAAAACATGGTCCTAGCTTTCCAAAATAATGCCTAGTTTTTGTCAGCTGAATTATTTCGACTCGATTCTTTTTAATAAATAAACATATTTTCTAACGGAATTCTATCGCTTAAAGGCGATAAGTTTTATAATGGACTTATACAATGAACTGTTTCATTGCTCGAGGCTAGAACGCACCAATGAAGTGTGGACTGAATTCTAAGTGCATTCTGTGCGACAAAAAAGTTACTACAATACACAGAGTTTATTTATAATTCAAAGCGCCTTACTCGACATCCAACAGTAATTAACTACTCTGATCTTCCTAGGCCTTACACAAGACAACTTTCAGTCAGCATCCAATGTACCGGTTAATCAACTAACCGATGAATCTACATTTGGGAGTTTATGACAGTAGTACGTCATATTCCAAATTTGAGTTAACTAATGTAACTACTAGATCACTTAATATACGTAGCAATAATTACTTGGAAGACGTAAATTATGCAAGTTCGGATGTTTCATTAACTGTAGGTTTTTTGGTAGAATTAAGGGTTCCTGTCCTAGAAAACATAAGCAATCATTTCTTCTTTGCACATATTTGGTGAGAAGTCACGTCTTCTTCTAAGTGCACTTTAAAAACGGGATAGTTATGTTTTTAAAAAGGTTGTACCAATAAAAACTTTAAATCCATCTAAGGCTCATTCAAATGGAAATGTATGCAGCTTTAAAAATTGCCCTTAATGAAGTATTCAACAGTTAAATCCTAAAGCAGATTTTTATGAACATTTTTGAGCATCGTTTTATTGACCTAGGTAAATACATACCTTTCCATACACTAAAAGCATACAGGGTGTACACTGAATACGCATAATATGAATGCTAAGGTAAAGCGGCCTTATAAGTATTCGGGAATTTGATAAATGTTTTAACACCTAAATTTACCTTCCCCGCCAGTATATAATTTGAAGGAGACGTTATATCGACATAAAAAGGTTTTGATATCGTTTCCTTTAAGCTATATTTGAATTTATAAGGATATGGAAAATGGATAGAAGACATTCCTACTATCTTAGGGGACAGTTTTTATCAAAGTTTACTTATACAGGTAACTACAAATAACTTAATTTTCATGTCCGCATTCTGGCGTTTCTTAAATACCTTGGATTGTCACCAATGTTACAACATCACGTTAGTAATCATTCCTAATCCAAAACGCATTTCAGATTTTAGTAAGCTTTCGAAGTGGTCGAACACTATTTTTATCTAAATCCAGGATGCGAACAGGAAAGTGGGAGATGGCAGTTACCATTAATAGGCTGGGTAGCGGACGGAAGCTGGATTCAACTCATACCTGTTTTTCCGTTGAACATTAAGTCACATACCCTACGATGGAGTCATGGATACGGTTCTGTCGACTGCGATAGTAAAAATCTGAATTTACTTAGCTATGACATTTCATCAATCTGCGACCAGAAGTAGTTTCCTTACATTTTTCTTGATAGTTCCGTGGTGGTGGAGAATCTATACATTTAAGGGAACATCAATAAACTCGATGCAACCTGAAAAAGCCATTTCCACTTTTTGGCCTAAATTTTGCTCTCAAGCAATCAAAACGTCAGGCTTGATTTGTTACATCAACGACCAATCTTAAATAATTGTTGAATGCTATTTCGAAGTCTACGGTGAGGATGATTAGGACTGAACCTATTGCCTCACGTTAAAATGTTTTTGAATATTATAGTAACTGTTGGCATATCCGGAGAATGACTAACGAATGGCAACTATTATTGAAAAAAGCACCTAACTTAATTTGAATTATTCAGGTCAACTTCATTTATGAACGACGTTAGCCAGTTATCAGTGTACTTCCTACAGCCCACATGTTCATCCGGACAAAATTTTTGCTTGAC